CAATTACCTTAGTAAACTGGTCTTATTTCCATCTGAAATTCAGATACCTTTTTTAAACTGTTGGCGCAGACTTGAAAACGAGGCTATAAAGAGCGGTGTATCCTCGGTCAAAAAGTTTAAAATAATAAAAACATAAACATAAAAAGGTGTTTGCTAAAAGGAGGTACAAAGGTTTTATTAGTTGTTATCTATTAGTCGAGACCCATTTCATGTGTTTTTAAATATCAGCAGTATTACATAAGTTCTAATTTTCATTGCTGTTTCAGTACGCTCAATAAGTTTTAAACTTGTAACTCAGAGCAAGAAATTGAGTTTAGAATAGTTAAAGGCAGGTTGTCCTAGACCACATCCTTCACACGATTGATCTACAAAACAAACCTCCTGATCAAAATGTGTACAGCAGCTTCTTTGCTTGTTTGCTTCTTTGCTGGAACTCAAACACTTTTGTCCAAGGGTGTCTTGGATACATTTTCCTTGCGCTCTTGAGCATTTATGAATTTGATAGTTTTGTTTTTCGTATAAATATTCAGATCCTGCTATGAGAACTGTTTAGTACTAGATTCTCATTCAGCTTCCGTTGTAAAGCCATGCGATTGTCATGCATGTATTAAGTATTTTACAATTTTAGTAGTTGAAAATAGCATTGACTGTTTAAACTTGACTGAATTTTAATTTTGAAAATATAATTACAGTAATGCTCAACAAATTACTAAGCCTCAACATCCCCCCTCCAAGCGACCAACAGGCATTTGACTGGATTTCGGTAAAGGCATTCTCAGGGGTGGGGAACCTTGCCCGGTAGGGATGGAGAATTTGAAGTAGTGTTGTCAAGTGTTTCCAGTGGAATGCGTATAATTTATTTTTATTTTAATATAGAGAGAGCTTTAAGGTTACGAATTCGCTTTCATAATAAAACAGCTCGGATAAAAAAAAAATTATAAAAGCTGATCAAAATTTACATGGGTATATGTTTAAAACCTAGAGTGTACATTTGAGTTGTGTGGTCTTAGGGTTTTACGGCTTGAATACCCGGTAGTCAAATAAATTGCTGGTTAATAACAGAAGTTGCAGAGCATTCTGAAACACAAGGGTGGGCTTATCCAGTTCACCCAACCGTGTGCATACCCCTAAATATTCCAAAACGCCTTTAGTGTTGTTCACTGGCAGAAGAAAACCCCTTGTAATCTTTACAGTTTCGAGTATGTCCGTAATCGATTTGTGACTTGTTTTGATTTTTTCAAGCACGGACTGGAATATTTCAGCTTAGCATTCGATAGGGCTCCCACAAAGAAAACTAAATCATGCCTAATTTCTTTTATAACATAACCAAAGTAAAGTGCGTATTGTGATTGGTCAATTCAGCGTCCACCATTTCCCCAAGAGTGTACGCTGCTAACGTGAGCAAATGCAAAGACTGGTTTTCCGCGCGCGCTTGTTTTTATCTTATCGCGTAAGATTTGTTCAATAAAAGAAAACTCTTTTGCTACAATATATCAATGCTATGTTATAAAACAAATTGTAAACACCACAGTGTACACTATTCAGTTATGGATGCACTTGGGAGGTTTGTTAAGCACTCAACAAGCTAGAGTCGCTCTCGGCTATCGCCTAGCGCGACTCTTACGCTTCTTTCGTGCTTAGCAGCTACACTCCTGCGTGCATCTATAACTCAATAGTGTACGCTAAGGTTTTTACCATTTGTTAAATTACGCCAAGCACGATGTTAATATGAGGATTTGTGAAAAATATCGCAACAATGGAAAAGTTTAACAATCATTATGCACGTTTGCGATATTTTCTACAACAAATCGTGGGGGGGGGGGACTGCGCCCCCCAGATTTTTCTTTGGTCGATACGACCCCCTGCTCCTCCCTTGCTCCGCCGCCTATTTCAACACTAGAGTGTATCTGTCGAAGAACTATCGGCTGATAGCTGCCGCGTGGAAATTGGATGTTCTTAAAACAAATATTTGCCTGAGAAGCGAAACTTTGAGGGCAAATATGCTAGTTTTAAGAACATCCAATTTCCAAGGGGCAACTATCTGACCGATAGTTCCGAGGCATAAACACTCTATTGTCTTTATTGTTTGCCACTAAATTTTCTTCCGCGCTCCAGTTGAAAAACAGTCAAAACCCACCAAATGCAGATCAATCAAATATTTATTAATGCGTACAGCCTGTCACAAATGTCAATAATTTGCAACCGTACATTGGCTAAATAATACGTTATATCTGTCAGAATTGAAAAGTCACTGTTTCTCCCATCTGCCTAACTTCACGGCCGTTAAACCATTCAAAATTTTCACGGATGAGTACTATCCATCCGTGTATTTTTCCGCGGACGGGCCCGTGAGATGATTTTAAAAAAGACGGGAATAAAGTGCAAAAGGTGGTTGTCTCGAAAACTGTTCATCGAAGAATACAAGATCATCCGAGGACAAGCCTTAACAACAAAGTACGGCATGAAAAATTGACATTGCGACCAAAAAATAGAAAAAATGCAACTATTCTTTTCCTCGTGAGACGACCAGGAAAACAAAAAAAGATAAAAGACCGAGCTTTAAATTGAGTGAGCCAAATTGGAATCAAGCCAGGTGTTCATCAGCTGTCTTTGACACCATTTGACACTTCAAAACAACTTGAAAACATTCGCCTCGTGCTTACAGTTTCTTGCGAAGTTGTATGATATGTTCAATATTACTGCCAAGCAGCAACATTGAATTACTGATATGGGATAAATTATTGTCATTGATTCATTAGAATGTAACGACTCCGTTAACGTGCCGGAGGTGAGATGTTGATTCACTGACCTTTACCTGAGGTCAACAAAGGTCAAAGCAATTTCGTTCCAGTTACCTTACAGGTTATCAATTTTTGAGGTCTTACGCTGCGCTCATACTTGATGCCCCAACATTAGCGCCAGGGCACCGGCATAAAATGGTGCTGCGTTCAGACACTAGGTGCCCCGATATATTAGTGCCCGGTTCAGTGCCCAAATTCTGGCGCGGGTACTCGAAAAAAAAAAGGTGTTTTCATATTAATGCCCATCAAGAATCGTACTCGAGCACCGAGCTCGAGCACAAAGTGTGAACGAAACCTTCGAGTTCATAGGTCCTAGTTTTTGAGACACCCTGTAAACGGTCGTGGGGTTATTTTAAATTTTGATAAAAAGTTGATGAGTGCAAGCGTAGGTAAATTTACATGCTTGCCGCATATGGACCTTTTTCACAAAAGACAAGTTTCAATGTAGGCGCCTGTAGTTCTACAGTTTGTACCTTGAAGAATGATCCAGGAACCAAACCTCCCTCCACAGAACAACTGATCGCGGCAAGATGGCCGCCTTGACCTCCAAACGAGCAAAGCAATGTACAAAAACTTCCATGGTTCGGTGCAGTAATAGATCACAGATGACATCATAGTTAGTTAAGAACACATGGCAATCTGCGGTCTTTCCTTACACTTAGGTAGCACGGAAAGCCGGAAAACTCTTGAACAAAAGCTCATCATTCACACCGGCAATCTAAATCCCACAGGTATCAACGCACGCTTTTTATTCCACTAATTCAGTCCTGTTTTTCTCGTTGCCATGTTCCCACCAATCACGTGGCTCCTTTTTCTTCCTTTAAAAGCACACATAACCCACAATTCCCCTATTCGCTCCGACGAAGGGCTAACGCTGGAAACGTCAGCTTTTATAATCGTAACGGTGGCCAATTTACCATTTCAACTTTGTTGATATATTCAAATTATTGAATTAAGAACAAACTTGTGACAGACGAGGCTCAGCTGAGTTTTTACCATATTTTGACTTCTATGATCGTTTTACTGTGCAGACCCATAGCAACATATAATCTATTCGTCTTATATGAAAAAAAAAAGCAAAATTCTGTTAATGGTGACGTCATGTAGGAGTCTGCCCTCCGATAGATTGATAGATCATCAACGAAAACCAATCAAACTGCGTGCGTAATTTAGTTTATTCATACTCCTTCACTTACAACATAGGAAAAGTTGTATTGCCTTTATTGAGAACGCCTGAAGTTCAACAGGTTCCGAGGAACCTTGATATATTCAAAAACTATATTTTCATATTTTCTTTCCTCTTTTTTACTCAATCCTTTTTAACTCAGTCATACCCAAGACCCACTGACTGCACAAATTTAAAGATTAAAGTAGTTCTACAGTCCTATCTAACGGGTTTCTTCTATTTAGAAGTTTTACGTCAAAAAGTACAGTGTCCGATCATACTGTTTTGTTTGATTTTCGTTTGTTCTAATTTGTGACGGTTGTATTCATTGTTCGAGTGATTTTCTTTTTTGGTTTCTAAGCCGGACGCGGACAATCATGATGTTCAAGTTACTTGCCTTGAATAGTAAAAATGTATTTTTATGCCTATTTCTTTCAATCAAATTTCCTCTTTCTTCTTTATCCTATGCTCATTTATTTAACGACCTGGTAGACTTAGCTTTTACCAAGTACAAGAGTAGAGCAAACGTGTTTTTTATATTCCCCGCACTGTTTTCTTTACATTTTCTATTGTGATTACGAGGAGAATTTATTTGTTCATCAGGAGCTTCTTAAACTGGAGATCATTTCCTTTATTCGTAATACCTTTTAAGTTCCATTTAAGTGAGATACTGTAGGAAGGGGTTTTGAAGCCAGTCACTCTTAGAAGTTGAGGGTTAATTTTCAATCGTGGAACTACTGAGAAATAGCTGAAAAACACAATAAGAACGGCAACAGCAAAAGTACTATCGGCAGTTGTCATGCCTCTACATAAATCCCCTTGGGAACCACTGTAAGGGTTTCCGTGTGTAGATTTTTACCACCAGGTTAATGTCATGGTAGATGGATTTGCAAAATAATGTGGAAAAGAATTTTTCCCCCGTTCGAATTAAATGACTACGATAAACATTTTGGTAAAGGAATGGGAATAAAAACTTATCATTAATTCGTTTTAATTAATCTTCTTATCATGAACCACTAAGTGCGTGTTGAAAAGTTTATAACACTACAAATTTAAATTTAAATTTAAATCCTATTGTATGACAAAGCACGCATCTCAGAGCAGCATTCGTACGAAACGGTGTTTCACGCGACACCTCGGGTTTGAATCCAACGGAAGACGCAGAGAGCCTCCTTGTGTCTTCAATAAAGACAAAAAACCGAAAAAGTGCTTAATCTCTCAGTGAGATTAGTTCAGCGCCAAACGTCGGTTCTGAGCAAGTTTTGTGCGACTTGCGGTTGACAAGCTATCTCTGAAAATATAATTTTGGTTTTATCAACTGAATTGATAATGTGAATAGGCCACCTTAAAGAGTTTCAAAGTTGACGTTAGGAGGGTTAGCCCTTCGCCATTAACTCTGACGAGGGGCTAATCTCGAAACGTCAGCTTTGAAACTTTTTACGGTGGTCAATTTACATTATCAGCTCTGGTGATAAAGTCAAAATTACTGTTACTCCCACCTACCCAGCACCATAGTTTCTTTAGAAACTTATCCCCTTTACACATCTGGAAATGGCCGACAATGCGGTTTATGGGGGTAATGCTTGTGGAAACGTTTCCAAAGTCACCGCGATAATTCAAGAACTTTTTAAAAGTAAAACAGTGACTCTGGCTATTTCTCTGTCAATCACGTCTACTCGTATTTTAAAAAAACATTTCATAGATTTGGGTGTTTGTTTAATCCCTCAAAAGCTTCCAGATGACATTTCAGTTTATGCGATTGTGTTTCCATGTGCCCTAGTTAAGGCACACATTTCTAAATGGTGTCAATCCCTTGCCACGTTACCGTGACTGTTATAATATATTCTTATCCCAAGATGCGTCAAGCCAAATAAAGACAAGTCCACAGCTAATATCTATGGCAGCAACTGGTTTTCGTTTGTATCCATTGAACTCAGGATTACCACTCGTCTGATTTTTAACAACCCATTCCAGGACCCAATCTTTCTGTACATAATCCAGCAGCGCTATTGATTCCATTTTCTTGAACTCTCATATCTTCGGAAACATTTGGGGACTCTTCTAAAGGTGCTGTTCTATTACGAGCTGTTCTTTTACGAGGTAACAACTTGAAAAACTCGCGGCGGAATCGATTACTGAGTACCACCAAGATTAAGGGGTTTATGGCAGGATTTATATGACCCATGAGATTCATAGACACCATTACAAATAGAGGAAAGCGCGCATGGACAGTCGGAAAGTGTGATAAAAGGATGTGCTGGACATGTGTGGGAAGCCAACAAAGTGCAAACACGATTACAATACTGATTAGCATCGTGACAATTTGACGTTTGTGAAGCGTGTTGTTTTGTCGTGCATGCAATGGTCCACGTTGTCCAGGTGCATTGTGCTTCCAAAGTTTGCGACATATTGCAGTATACAGGACGGCAATGACAAGTAATGGATCTGCGTACATGGCGACAAATGTGGTGTTGTAAAACATCCGTTTCACCATCATGGGATCTCCAAAAATCGACCAGTCACGATCACACTGCATTTTTCCATTTATTTCAGTGGTAACTGCAGATATTCCAACGGGACTCATAAGAATTGCCGAACTCAGCCAAATAGAGATTGTGATAGCCCAGACTTTTTGAAAGATTCTGATCGTCCTGTAAGGGTACACGATTGCAAAGAACCTCTCAAACGCTATGAAGGTTAGGGTTGTCGTGGAACCAGCAATTGGCAAGTGGGACATAAAGAACATAACGTGACATGTGAAGTCACCAAAAGGACCTCCAATCCAAAGAGCCCTTACATGATATCGGATGACGGCCAGCGGGAACATGAATACAGCAAAGAGAAGGTCAGCTGCCGCCATATTTACCAGGAGAAGATTTGTAGGACTCTTCATTGCAGGTTTTTTCAGCACCAAACAGACCACGAACACATTGCCGAGTACAGCAGCGATAAACAGTGCTAAGTAGATAACCGAAATGATGATCTTTCCAGTCTCTTCCATCTTGGAGTAGGCTTTCCTGGGGCAATATCTGAATAAGTGAGTTGAATGTTTTCAAGTTAGTTGATCTACACGGTTTTCCGGAAGGGATTCAAATAAATTCAGATATGGAACCGTGTTTTTGATATAGGCCTAAGCATAACAATGATTGGTCAGTATTTTAAGCCACAAACCTAAAAAGCAATATATGTGACGCCAACGTCAAATTAATTTGATTACTCGCAAATACTATTAATTGAACGAAAATGTCCTCAGCGATTGAGTGGGATGAAATTCTTACATTTAATTTAATGTGCTCGTCATACGTGACCAGCTTAAACTTGACATAGGCTCTCAAGGTTTTAAACCAGGAAAGCTGAAGCGAATTTGATCCGATATTTTAAAAAAACGCTTAAAAAGAAGTGAAAAAAACAAGAAAATTAACCGTTTACACCAATGTCCTCTACTTTGCTGCTAATCATTCACCGCAAGGCATGTATTTTAGGCCGATAAGACAGCCGATCGTTTGTCTGGATGATAAAAATAATGGAATTAATGAATACATGTCAGATGTATTTCTTTTGCCCTGGATTTTAAATCTTTTTTGGTCAACATTTCTGACCAAGAGTCCTACTTTGAACAAAAGAAACTTAACTGATGAATTTTTTGGATGGCAGTACTAAAGGAAATATTAATATTGAAGAAAGTAAAATTACGGCGGCTTCCAAGCAGCCCAGAGGAAACCACATGATGGGCTGGATAGACGAGAAAGTATCACGATTCCTTTTCAATTTTAATCAGTTTGCCACGTCTCTGGCGGTTTAAAAACCGCTGGCTACTGATTTTTATTTTGTCGATGTTGTTTTTAGGTGCGGTTTTACTGATTTCCAACACATCATATGAAAAAAACCTTAGTAGGGACTCAGACAACAAAGATGACGCAAAAAAGTCGTTAAAAGGTCGTCCATTTGAGAAATTCTAAAAAAGCGTTTAGGTGGAAAACCCCATTGTGCTCATTGCCGCCCAGATTGATCAGCAAACACTAGACGGGCTAAGTAGCTCATAAACCCCACGCATAATCAAGTTTTTACTATCATAAATCACGTAGATATAGAGAAGTAAGTATTTTTGCTTGAAAACACACTAAACGCAGACGTCACGAAAACTTATAATCGTACGTCAGTGGCAAGTAGTGATGACGCAATATACCGCTTACGTAGGGTTGTTTGCGCGAACAGTCAGTGAAAAAAAGGGCGAGCGATAGATTTTCGAAGTTCTCTGAAGCTCATTTTTGCGAGATTTTATTTCTCACTGCCGATGTAATCACTCAGAATTTATTCATATTTGTATAGCTGCAAGATTGTTTTGTCAGCTGTCAGGATTACTTTCTAGCGAACAAAACAAACGCTGGAACTGTGAATCAAGTGTTTTTTTCTTCGGACTTTGAGACTGAAAGGAAATCATATTGTGTCTGTAAGATGTTAAATTATGTTTTCTCACGTCAAAAAAACTTTATATTTACGCTAGTACAGCGCAATAGCAAAATATTGCTCATACCATTTAATGTCAAATAAGATTTAGATCTCCGGATCAGCGTATAATACCTTCTTAAGTGATTTACAGAGTGTTTAACTGACGCAGAAATGAATAAAGAACTTCATTTAGACATGCAGTGTTATTTACATTATGACCTTTTCATTTGTTTGACTGACCAGATGAACGTTGTTTCGCCAATCTAAAAGGATGATGAAAGTGAAGCCAAATAACTAATAAAAAGATCAGTTGCAATCATTCTAACCATACTGTTAAAAAAAAGGCAAAAACAGGGATTCGCATATAATGAAGGTCTTTAGCTGTCATTTGAATATGCACGCGAAAGAGTTTTAATAACCTCAGTGGCCTTAGAGATAGTTTACCAGCATATTGAAGTTGCCCCATCATAATACCACATATATTAAAGACTACTTCATCGGCAGAATCAATGATGATATTCAATCGCTTAGTTCAACACTTAGTTTCAATAGCCTTTGCCTTAAAGATAAGTTTGTAAGCATAGTGTAAGTCGCTGCATCAATTTGTCACATACATTATAGGCTACTTTATCGACGGAATCAATGTTTATATTCCATCACTTAGTTCAACATCGGAAGGAAAACCAGACATGGCCTTTTAAGATATAGATTTTCAAGTGGCTGTTAAGGCTTCAAATTCAATGCGATAATCAATTGCAAGAAAGGTTCTAAAACGCCGAGCTTATGTATATCCTTTTCTTTGTAGTTATTAAAAGATTCCGTTTCCTCAAAGCCCGCAACTGTAGAGTAAACGTCATGGCCATTTTGAATGATTTTTCCCACAATATTTCCCCAGTATTTTGAAAATGCTCTGCTTTCTAACACTGTAGGAACAGCTTTAACGAGTGAAACTCAGTTTGAAGAATCAAAAGAAAAAGATTAAAAAAAAGAACAGAACAGAAAAAGAGAAACAAAGCCTCTGATAATATTCATCGGTCATGATAAACGCCGGCGAGGATTCTGAGGGCTAGTGCTACAAGATTGTCTAAAATGTATATCTCATTCTGTGGCTTTTGTGTACAGGGTAAATATCATACTGTGTCATTCGTTCTCCAACGTGTTGTTCATTTTTCAAGTTTTTAAACAACATAATTTATACTCGAATGTTATGAGAATCACATCTCACCTCTCTTTTTTATCTTGAAACCATCCTCCATTCGGCCAGGCTGACTGACACTCCCTCTGGACCATAAAACTGGGATGTTCCTGGAAAAAAAAACGGGTAGACGACCTTTTTTTTATGTTTATGTCGACCCCTTGTTAGGGACTGAACTATAAAACTGATTAATGGCGCGGCGTGACAATATAGCAGTGTTTAAAATCCAAGATTTAATGACTCTTTTACAAACAGCTGTTTACATCTTACAATTGGGTTTTTACATCATGCCATATAAGGAGATGTCAAATTCCCTTCTGTTTGCTCTAAGGTAAAGTTTCGTTTAGTTTTGATAAAATTCAAAGTTCAGAGTCGATAGCTTGGATGTTCAAAGGCAACTAGGCCATTCATTAACGAATAGTCAATCACAAATATCAGGTAAATTCTCCGGCTAGTTCAATGTTTTTATTAAATATTCATAGCTTAGCCGTTGTTTAAATTTCTTACAGCGATCAAAAGACTGTGATGATGATTTAGAGTAGAAAAGGAAAGATTGCAACACCTTACCCGAGGCCAATTTCCTAATTGACACTGAGGCTTATCAAATTGAAATTTTTAAAGCTTTACGGGGTGGTAAGGATAGAACAAAATCTTAAAATAATCTTTTTTCGAGGCAAACAAGTACTATAAAGGCAAGAACAAAATAAAAACAAAAGAGGATGGTTTTAGATGCCGAAAAACATTACAGATGCCAAAAAACTTGAAAAACAAATTTACGCCAATTTTTTCATCAAGATAAGCAAATATTTGCAAGCTCTGAATTAAGCATTTTGCCATGGACTCCCATGTTGTCTGACGCCTAGATCAGAGTACAAGTTTGTTTTATACAAGGCATTGTTTTATATTAAGCATCGTCGCCGATTTTGATCTAAAGCATGACGCAAGATTAAATTATGTCAATATATTCCTCGAATGAAAGAGAAGTCAAAACCATTATCTTTTCCAAGACTGATTTTCCCGTAAGCGAAAATCAGATGTTTGATAAACCAATCGAAATTATAAGCAAAATAAGGAAGAAATTATGTCTCTCTTAAGTCTCCATCACTAAGTTTGAGCAAGAGGTAGTCATGTTCAAAATTACGTAAACTTCTTAAAATTTCCATTTGTCGATGAAAAGAAATTGAAAACCGGCTGACTTCCACCTTAATGCCATTAAGTGTAAAATTTACACCTGCAAACTGCGTCAGTCAGCTGAACCAGTAATGGCTAACAGGTAAATTTTCTCTCTATCACCTTCACGCTTTCGGGAAAACAATTTGACGAAAATAAGGAGAAGGAAATGACACGATTTAGCGGAAAATAAATAAATACATAACCCAACTCTGGTACTAAGTAGAGTTCCTTGTGATTATCTGCATTCATAACTTGTTTTCTATTTTATTTTGTTTTATTTCATACATTCATTCTCTTTACATTGATTGAACGTCACTGATTAAGATGTATATTTCGCACTTAAGGTCATAGAAAACTAAAGATCGAAGATACTAAAATGAATTCGATGTTTTTCATCTGTTGCTCTATTTACCGGACCGATAGACCGACTGAAGAGCGAACACTCCGAGACCCGCAAGAACAGATTTATGACAGGAATTTTCAGGGTTGAGGTTCTCCATCATTTAATGTCATAAAAACCATAAAAACCTATTAGTTTTTCCTGACTTCTCAGTCGTTAAAAATATAAATTACCGTCAGCAGGACTTGTTTTTGAAATTCAAGAAGCACTTGGTCTGTGATAGAGGCATCGTGTTTGACGAATATTATATGCGCATAAAGCTTTGTTCTGTATATACTCTTCCATTGTCCAAAGATTAGCTACGGTCTGGGAATCCTTGCATCAAAATATGTTATGAACTCGTAGGACTTTCCCAGTTAAGAAAAAATTATTAGGAAAAATATTAAACGGGGGAAACGTAACTTTTCCTTATAACGATCTTCTTTGCATCGCTTCAATTTGGTATTAGTATGCAATTCATGCACGTTTAACAAAAGAAGGAGCCTCAAGCAAAAAGCACTCAGCCATACCTTATTGCCTCCTATTCCCACGCCGTGAAATTATCTACATACTAAGGACATGCACGATTCGCTTTTCGAGAGAGAGAGAAAAAGTCAATTTCTGTCATTTTATCGTCTTTCTACATGCCTATTAGCCTTAAATCAATTAATTGCTTGCAAAACACGCCAGTTAAAGCAAGGCCTTTCCGAAAATGCCGTGCTGATAACGTCACGAAATCTTACCAAGGATTGTAAAATCTTATTTCCCAGTTTAATGAATCAACCAAACCGTCGAACTTTGAATAAAAATATATACAGAGAGTTG